TTCCCCCCCCCCCCCCAATCCTGTATCCCCAGAGGTTCCATGCCTTTGGTTTAAGGTGGTATGAAGTGGTGGAACACAGTTCGAGGTCAGTGGCTCCTTTAAGACCAACCAAATTTTATTCAAGGTGTGAGCTTTCGTGTGCAAAGCACACTTTGGTCCCGTTCACACTGACCAGAAGACGCGGGAGGAACGGGATGAGACGCGATGGCAGGGAATGGGGGGTAGCGGCTTGTTGGCGCACGTTTCAGGTGTGCTTCATGCAGCGCTGGAGCGATCAGACGGAGGATGTCCGTCTGTGGCCCGTCGCAAGCATAAAATAGTGGAGTTTCTGCAGTAGCTTTTAACTCCGGATCTTCGGCGGGATGCGACGGCTTGTCAATGGGTGCGCGACCCTTGCCAGATGATGTGCTTGTGTGATCGCGTCCGTTATATCTGCCCGGCATCCATGAGTATCCCGCAGCAACTTCTGTGTGTGATCGGAGCCTCTGTCAGACAATGAAATGGGAATTACAGAACGTATCTATAGAGAGAGGCTTGTTAGATTAGCATGCAAAATAGTGGTGTTTTTTTTTTAACAGATTAAAAAAAATAGCTCCACTATTTTGCATGCTATTTTAACAAGCCTCTCTCTATGTATATACAACAATACGTTCTGTAATTCCATTTCATTGTCTGACAAAGCATGCTTTGCACACGAGAGTGCACACCTTGAATAAGACTTTGTTGGTCTTAAAGGTGCCTGAGTGGACTCGAACTGTGTTCTGTGCCTTGGGTTTGTTATGTAGGTCAACTGGGCAAGATACATGTCTGGTGCCCCGCCCCTGCTTTAGGGGGAAGAATGGTGCTCCTCTGGAGTCAGGAGGCTGACGTTTTAAGGTGGTTATGACTGGAATTCTCTGTGTACTCCATGTCTCTTCACAACTTGTGTAGTTGGGGATTCGAAACAAATACCAGCGTGTGAAAGTGGCAGGTCTGTGTCACATTCTCATCAAAACCAGGCCACCCACAGAGGAGGAGAAGGAGGAGAAGATTGGATTTATACTCTGCCCTTCACTACCCAAAGGAGTCTCAGAGCGGCTTACAGTCTCCTTTCCCTTCCCCTCCCCACAACAGACACCCTGCTAGGTACGTGGGGCTGAGAGAGCTCTGACAGAAACTGCTCTTTTTTCAAGGACAGCTCTTATCAGAACTACGGCTTGCCCAAGGTCATCCAGCCAGGTGCAGGTGGAGGGAATCAAACCCGGCTCTCCCAGATTAGCGTCTGCACACTTAACCACGGCACAAAACAGAAGAAGAAGAGATTGGATTTATACCCTGCCCTTCATTACCCAAGGGAGTCTCAGAGGGGCTTGCAAACTCCTTTCCCTTCCCCTCCCCACAACAGACACCTTGTGAGGTGGGTGGGGCTGAGAGAGCTCTTGACAGAAACGGCTCTTTCTCAAGGACAGTTCTTATCAGAACTATGGCTTGCCCAAGGTCATCCAAGCAGGTGCAAGTGGAGGAGTGGGGGAATCAAACACGGTTCTCTCAGATTAGAGACCGCGCACTTCACCACCGCACCAAACTGGCTCTCAGAGAAGGAAGGGATTTCTGCGGGGAGGGGGGGAGGAAGAGCAGAAAATTCAGGCTTTGTAAATTAACCAATGACAACCTTCTCCCTCTCATGACATGGCCCTAGGGAGCGTGAGTGCATAGAACATGGGAGGTGCACAGAGGAGTGGGGTGTAGTGCATGAAGCCTGGGCAACCCGCATTCAGGTCCCCCCCCCACACACACACACACACTATGGAAGTCTCCTAGGTGCCCTTGAACCTGTCGCAAACTCTCCTCGTGGGCTACCTCACAGGGTTGTTGTGGGAAAATGCTGGAGGGGAGAACGTAAATAAATGCAAATGCTTGCCAAATGCACGCTCAAGCCTCGGAGTGCCGAGAGAACCTTAGAAGGGGAGATTTGTGGGGATGGGACGGTCCCATATTGCTTTCCCCTCTCGTGTTTCTCTGTGGACTTCTAAGGTTTGCACAGCGTGGTACAGGATTCAGCTTGACTTGCTGGGCAAAGATATCTCTCTCTCCCTCTCTCCCTCCCTCCCTCTCTCTCTCTCTCTGTCTATCTATCTCCTCCCCCCCTCCCTCCCTCCCTCCCTCCCTGCACCCTCTGTCCTGATGGTGGCAGTGTGGGTGCAGATCTCTTTCATTCAAAGAAGATTCTTTAACTGTAGCTGTCAGCCACAAGGACTAGATGGAACACTATTATGTCTGGGGCAAGGGATGCTCTGTCATCTTCGTGCTGGGGGGGGCAAGAGTGGGAGGGCTTCTGGGGTTCCGGTCCCGCTGGTGGACCTCCTGAGGGCCCCTGGGTTTGGGCCACTGTGTGACACAGAGTGTTGGACTGGACGGGCCATTGGTCTGATCCAACATGGCTTCACTTATGTTCTTCTGTCTGGGGCAAGTGATGCTCTGTCTTCTTGGTGCTTGGGGGGGGGCAAGAGTGGGAGGGCTTCTGGAGTTCTGGCCCCGCTGGTGGACCTCCCTCCTCCTTGCCTCCAACGGTTCCTGTGCTGGCAGAAATGCATCAGGGGCAGCTTTCTTTTGCAGCACAGAGATGCTTTGGTGCTGGGAGCTTTATCTGTAGAATTTCTGCCTGCTGTGTGAGGGCGCAGACTCAAGTTGGCAGCTGAAACTGCTTCTCCACCCAGTTGGGGTGTTCCTGACGGCATTTCTGCGTCTCGCTTCCAGGTGGACGTTCAGATCCAAGACGCTCTGGGCCGGTACCACCAGTGCGGCACCATCCAGCTGGACTTCCAGATGCCTCTTCGCTTTGACCTCTCTTTCACCAGGCAAGTTCTGTGGCAGGTGAAGGCCTTTGGAAGGACTGTTAGTTCTTGGACGCTTCCACACAATATCTGCCTTTTAAGAACCTCAGAAGAGCCCTGCTAGGTCAGACCAGGGAGGGTCCATCTGGTCCAGCATATCCTGTCTGACACAGTGGCCTCAACCAGTTCCTCTGGAGGGCCAACAGCAGGGCAGAGAGGCCGAGGCCTTCTCCTGAGGAGAACCTCAAAAGAGCCCTGCTGGATCAGACCAGTGAGGGTCCATCCAGCATCCTGTCTCACACAGGGGCCAGCCAGTTCCTCTGAAGGGCCAACAGCGGGGCAGGGAGGCCGAGGCCTTCCCCTCGTGTTGCCCCCTGCCTCTGGGATTCAGAGGTTGAGTGCCTCTGAACGTGGAGGCTCCCTTTAGTCACCATGGCTCATAGCCACAGATAGACCCACCCTTCATGAATCTATCTAATTCCCTTTTAAAGCTGGCTATACTGGCAGCCATCGCTGCATCCTCTGGCAGCAAATCCCACATTTTAATCACTCTCTGTGTCAAGTAGTATTTCCTTTTTTCTGTCCTGAACCTACTGCCCATCAGCTTCATTGAACACAAGAACATAAGAGAAGCCAATGTTGGATCAGGCCAATGGCCCATCCGGTCCAACACTGTGTCACACAGTGGCCAAAAATACCAGGTGCCCCCAGGAGGTCCAGCAGTGGGGCCAGGACACTAGAAGCCCTCCCATTGTTGCCCCCCCCCTCCCAAACACCAAGAAGAAAGAGCCTCACTTGCCCCAGACCGAGAGTCCCTATCTCTGCCTTGTGGCTAATGGCCTCTGATGGACCTCTGCTCTATATGCTTATCTAATTCCTTTAAGAACGTAAGAGAGAGGCCAATGTTGGATCAGGCCAGTGGCCCATCCAGTCCATCACTCTGTGTCACACAGTGGCCAGAAATACCAGGTCCCATCAGGAGGTCCACCAGTGGGGCCAGGATACTAGAAGCCCTCCCAATTCTTTCAATTGTCTACCCCATTCCCAGTTCCTCCCCTCCCTCCATTGGCTTCCCACAATGCTTCCACCCCTGCTCCAAATTGCTTCATATCATCAACAATATCAGTTTCTTATCATTACAATCTAAAGATAACATCATTTGACTTAATATTGGTCTAAACATATTAAGTTTTGTTTCACATCCCAGTTCTTTTCCAGATATATTTTAAAGTCACTCCATTCTTGAAAAAACACGTCGTCTTCTTTGTTGTTCAATTTCTTCGTAATTTTGTCCATCTCTGCCATGAACAGAACTTTTTGTATCCAGTCCTCAATTTCTGGTACTTTCTCTGTTTTCCAAAATTGTGCATAAATCATTCTCGCTGTTGTGATTAAGTACCAGAATAAAGTCTTTTTAGTTGTATTGACTTCTTCCATTTTCAATCCTAAAAGCAGAATTTCCGGTGCCTTTTTAAAAGAGCATTTCAAAATTTTTTGCATTTCATTGTGGACTTTTGTCCAAAAGTCAACTGCTTTCTCACAAGTCCACCACATGTGGTAAAATGAGCCTTCATGGCTTTTACATTTCCAACACTTATTTGACATATTCTGGTTCATATTTGCAATTTTTTTCGGAGTCATGTACCACCTATACATCATTTTATAACAATTCTCTCTAACATTGGTACAAGGCGATATCTTAATAGAATTTTTCCACAAATATTCCCAGGTTTCAATAGCCACTTCCGTATTCATATTTATCGCCCATTTTATCATTTGCCCTTTTACAGTCTCATCTTCAGTATACCATTTTAGTAACACTTTATACATTTTAGAGATATTTTTTCCCCCTTCACTCTCCCAAATCATTTCAATCTCATTTTTTTCCTCTCTAAAACCATAGTTTCTTTTGTCTGATCTAAAAAGGTCAAAAATCTGCATATATTTCAGCCATTCATAATCATATTCAATTTCATTCTGCTTTTTCATTACCCATTCTGTTCCCACTTTTTTAATTAGATCTTTATATGGCAACCAATCTTTATCTCTATGTCTTGAGTAAGATGTTAACACTTCCACTGGTACAATCCACAATGGTCTTACATCACAAAAGTATTTTTTATACCTCATCCATACCACAAATAGTGCTTTTCTTACCACATGAAGCTTAAAAAAGCTATCCATTTTTGTTTTGTCATACCATAAATATGCATGCCAACCAAATCTACAATCATGGCCTTCTAACCCCAGTAACTTATCATTTTCTAATTTCACCCACTGTTCCATCCAGGTTAGACAGACCGCTTCATAATATAGTCTAAGATTTGGTAGTTGTAGCCCACCTCTGTCTTTGGCATCACAAAGAATTTTCATCTTGATTCGCGGTTTCTTGCCTGCCCAAACAAACTTTGATAGTTCTTGTTGCCACTTAAGTAGCAAATCTGTCTTACTAAGTATTGGTATTGTTTGGAACAGGAACATCAGGCGTGGTAGGACATTCATTTTTATAACTGATATTCTTCCCATCAGTGACAAATTCATTTTGTCCCATTTCTTAAAGTCTTGAGTTAACTTAGTCCATAATTTTTCATAATTATTCTTATATAAGTCTATATTTCTTGCAGTTAACTCAATACCAAGATATTTAGTCTTTTTTACTACTTCACATTGTACCAGGTCTTGCAGTTCCAGTTGTTTTTGTTTCGTCATGTTCTTACAAATAAGCTTCGTCTTATTCTTGTTGACATAAAATCCTGCCAATTCTCCAAAGTCCTTTATTTTTTGGAATAGTAACGGTAATTTGTCTGTCGGGTTTTGCACAATGAACATTACGTCATCAGCAAATGCTCGATATTTATATTTAAGTCCTTTGTGTGTCAGTCCCGTTATCTCTTGGTCTTGCTGTATTTTTTGTAACAGTATCTCCAACACCCAGATAAATAATAACGGTGATAGGGGACAACCCTGTCTGGTGCCTTTCTGTACCTTGAAGCTATCAGTCAGTTCTTTGTTTACATTCAGTTTAGCTCTTTGTTCAGAATAGATAGCTTCAATGCAGTTTCTAAAGTGTTGTCCCACTTCTATTTTTTCCATCATTTGCAGCATAAAGTTCCAGTTAAGATTGTCAAATGCCTTTTCGGCATCGACAAATAATTCCCTCTTGAAGCCCTCCATGCTTGTAGCTGCCGCCACCTCCTGAGGCAGGGAATTCCACGTGTGAATCACTCTTTGGGTGCTTCAAGTATTTGGGGAGAGGGAGAAAAAGTTCTCTTTGTTCACTCTCTCCATCCCATGCGTGATTTTATCAACCTCTCTCATGTCTCCCCTTAGTCATCTCTTTTCTAAACTAAGAAGTCCTGGACTTTTCCGCCTTTCCTCCTAGGGAAGGGCGCTCCAACCCCCTAATTGTCTTGGTCGCCCTCCTCTGAGGGAGAGCCCCGTCTGCCGCTCTGCAATCCTTGGTGGACGGCATGGTGGAAAGGGACTTGTCTTCTCCATAGCATGGAGCAGTGTTCCCTCTAAGCTGAGTTAGTGTGAGCCAGCTCACAGTTTTGTAGCCTGTGGCTCACACATTTTGGTCTTAGCCCAGGAAGGAGGGCTCCAGAGCAAACTGATTTATGCAGCAGCCAAACCGCTCGATCACAACTTTAATGCCAGTAGCTCACAAAGTAGAATTTTTGCTCACAAGACTCCACAGCTTAGAGGGAGCATTGCTCAGGAGCCCGTGTTCTCTCTAAGCTGAATTAGTGTGAGCTAGCTCACAGTTTTGTAGCCTCCAGCTCACACATTTTTGTCTTAGCTCAGGACGGAGGGCTCCAGAGGAAACTGATTTATGCAGCAGCCTAATCGCTCGCTCGCAACTTTAATGCCAGCAGCTCACAAAGTAGAATTTTTGCTCACAAGACTCCACAGCTTAGAGGGAACATTGGCATGGAGTGTCCCGTGTCGTCGTCCCGTTCCTCTCCCCCCCCCCCATGGCTTGACTGGGTTTGGGGCATTCTCGGGTTCTGCAAGGACGTTAAAAACAGCCACCCTCACCTCAGCCTTGCACGTAATACATTTTGTCCTGATAACGTCAGGCAGCGCACATCTGTGTACGCACGGCCTTTGGCCATGCAGAAGCTGTGCGTCTGTCATATACATCTCATCCCCCCGTCTTTAAACCAACAGTTCCTTTTTCTCTCCCCTTTCACCACCCACCCCCCAATTTCATAACTTGTCCTGCTGCGCCGTCTGACCACAGAGCGGGCAAAGAGGAACTGCCAGGGGATTTGACGGAGGCTTTGCTCAGGTTGTGGGAGGGGCGCGATCCTAGCAGCCCCCTGAAATCCCCTAGTCCCTTTAGGTAACAAGGCTCGGTGTCATATGGGGGGTGTTTCCCCCCAGAGAAAAAGAAGAAGAAGAAGAGATTGGGTTTATACCCCGCCCTTCACTACCCAAAGGAGTCTCAGAGCGGCTTACAAACTCCTTTCCCTTCCCCTCCCCACAACAGGCACCCTGGGAGGCAGGCGGGGCTGAGAGAGCTCTGGCAGAAACAGCTCTTTTTCAAGGACAGCTCTTATCAGGCTTGCCCAAGGTCATCCAGCCAGGTGCAAGTGGAGGAGTGGGGAATCAAACCTGGCTCTCCCAGATTAGAGTCCGTGCACTTAACCACTACAAGAAAGAAAGAAAGAAAGAAGAGATTGGATTTATACCCCACCCTTCACTACCTGAAGGAGTCTCAGAGCGGCTTACAAACTCCTTTCCCTTCCCCTCCCCACAACAGACACCCTGTGAGGTCGGTGGGGCTCAGAGAGCTTTGACAGAAACGGCTCTTTTTCAAGGACAGCTCTTGTCAGAACTAGGCTTGCCCAAGGTCATCCAGCCAGGTGCAAGTGGAGGAGTGGGGAATCGAACCCGGTTCTCCCAGATTAGAGTCCTCACACTTAATCACTACAAGAAAGAAAGAAAGAAAGAAAGAAAGAAAGAAAGAAAGAAAGAAAGAAAGAAAGAAAGAAAGAAAGAAAGAAAGAAGAGATTGGATTTATACTCTGCCCTTCACTACCCAAAGGAGTCTCAGAGCGGCTTACAAACTCCTTTCCCTTCCCCTCCCCACAACAGACACCCTGTTCTCCCAGATTAGTGTCCGCGCACTTAACCACTACACCAAACAGGCACAGGGTGTCTGTTGTGGGGAGGGGAAGGGGAAAGGAGATTGTAAGGCTTAAGCCGCGCTGAAACTCCCTCAGGTAGTGAAGGGCAGGGCATAAATCCAGTCTCCTCCTCCTCCTCTCTGGTGATCAGTTGCAATTCTGGGAGACCTCCAGACCCCACTTGGAGGTTTGCAGCCCTAGGAACACTTGGGGATGCCAGCCTCCAGGTGGGACCTGGAGATCTCCGGGAATCACAGCCCATGTACAGACGACAGAAATTAGTGGGAGAATTGCAGCTTTGGAGGGTGGACTCTGTGGCACCGTGCCCCATTGAGGCCCCTGTTGTCTGCATGCTCCATCCCCAAATCTCCAGGAGTTCCCCAACCTGGATCCCACAACTCTACTCGCCTATACCCCACCGGTGGCCAGAAATGACCTGGCAAACCTAAGAAAACTACAGAAGAAGAAGAGGAGGAGGAGGAGGAGGAGATTGGATTTATCCTTCACTCGGAGTCTCAGAGTGGCTTTCAAACTCCTTTCCCTTCTCCCTACAACACACACCCTGGGAGGTAGGTGGGGCTGAGAGAGCTCTTTCCAGGACTGCTCATGAAGGAACAGCTCTGAGAGAACTTGTGACTGACCCAAGGTCACCCCAGCAGCTTCCCTCACATTCAAGATGCTGCAGACAGGGACAAAAATTCCCAACTTCAAGTCTAGGCTAATGGAGTCTAACCTTACCAAGACTGAGAGGGGAAAAGATCTTGGGGCCGTCGTGGACAGCTCGATGAAAGTGTCTTCCCCGTGTGCTGCAGCGGCGAAAAAAAGCAAACCCTGTTAGGGATTATTAGGAAAGGGATTGAGAATAGAACGGCTGATATTGTAATGCAGGGCTCTTTTTGTAGAAAAAGTCCAGCAGGAGCTCATTAGCATAATAGGCCACACCCAGCAGCAGAAACCCATTCGCATATTAGGCCACACCCCTGACAGCACCGCTCATTGGCACATTAGGCCGCACCCCCATGTTACCAGAAGTGTGGTCATCCAGCCACACCCACCTTTTGCTTCTTATTCTATTTAGCTTGTTTGTGGTCAAAACCCAGGGCCTTTTTTTGTAGCAGGAACTCCTTTGCATGTTAGGCCACACACCCCTGATGTAGCCAATCCTAATGAGTTTCTGCTGTTAGGTGTGGCCTGGTATGCTAATGAGCTCCTGCTGGGCGTGGCCAACTCGGGAGCCAGCCAGAACTTCGTTCCTGTCCGTTCCTGCCCCAAAATAGTCCTGCTCCTATATACATTGATGGTGCGGCCTCATTTGGAATACTCTGTGCAGTTCTGGTCACCGGATCTCAAAAAGGACATCGCAGAGGTGGGAAGAGAGCAGAGGAGGGCGGCCAAGATGAGGAGGGGCCTGGAGACCGTTCCCCAGGAGGAAAGGCTGGAAATAGTCGGGGACTTCTCAGTGTAGAAAAGAGACGACAAAGGGGGGTCAGGGGAGAGGTTTATAAAACCATGCGTGAGGTGGAGAGAGTGGACAAAGAGAACTTTTTCTTCCCCCCCTCCAAGACTAGAACTCGGGGGCATCCAATGAAGTTGATGGGCAGTAGGTTCAGGATGGACAAAAGGAAATACTTCCTTACAGAGCAAATGATTAAAATGTGGAATTCGCTGCCAGAGGATGTATAGATGACCACAGACATAGATGGCTCTAAAAAGGGATGGGACAGATTCAGGGCGGAGAGGTCTATCAGTGGCTGCCTGGCTATGGTGACTAAAGGGAACCTCCACATTCAGAGGCAGTCAAACTCTGAACCCCAGTGGCAGGAAGCCTCAGCCTCTGTGCCCTGTAGTTGGCCCCTGTGTGAGGCAGGATGCTGGACTAGATGGGCCCTCCCTGGTCTGACCCAGCAGGGCTCCTCTGAGGTTCTTCTCAGGGGAAGGCCTCGGCCTCTCTGCCCTGTTGCTGGCCCTCCAGAGGAACTGGCTGGCCCCTGTGTGAGGCAGGATGCTGGACTAGATGGGCCCTCCCTGGTCTGACCCAGCAGGGCTCCTCTGAGGTTCTTCTCAGGGGAAGGCCTCGGCCTCTCTGCCCTGTTGCTGGCCCTCCAGAGGAACTGGCTGGCCCCTGTGTGAGGCAGGATGCTGGACTAGATGGGCCCTCCCTGGTCTGACCCAGCAGGGCTCCTCTGAGGTTCTTCTCAGGGGAAGGCCTCGGCCTCTCTGCCCTGTTGCTGGCCCTCCAGAGGAACTGGCTGGCCCCTGTGTGAGGCAGGATGCTGGACTAGATGGGCCCTCCCTGGTCTGACCCAGCAGGGCTCCTCTGAGGTTCTTCTCAGGGGAAGGCCTCGGCCTCTCTGCCCTGTTGCTGGCCCTCCAGAGGAACTGGCTGGCCCCTGTGTGAGGCAGGATGCTGGACTAGATGGGCCCTCCCTGGTCTGACCCAGCAGGGCTCCTCTGAGGTTCTTCTCAGGGGAAGGCCTCGGCCTCTCTGCCCTGTTGCTGGCCCTCCAGAGGAACTGGCTGGCCCCTGTGTGAGGCAGGATGCTGGACTAGATGGGCCCTCCCTGGTCTGACCCAGCAGGGCTCCTCTGAGGTTCTTCTCAGGGGAAGGCCTCGGCCTCTCTGCCCTGTTGCTGGCCCTCCAGAGGAACTGGCTGGCCCCTGTGTGAGGCAGGATGCTGGACTAGATGGGCCCTCCCTGGTCTGACCCAGCAGGGCTCCTCTGAGGTTCTTCTCAGGGGAAGGCCTCGGCCTCTCTGCCCTGTTGCTGGCCCTCCAGAGGAACTGGCTGGCCCCTGTGTGAGGCAGGATGCTGGACTAGATGGGCCCTCCCTGGTCTGACCCAGCAGGGCTCCTCTGAGGTTCTTCTCAGGGGAAGGCCTCGGCCTCTCTGCCCTGTTGCTGGCCCTCCAGAGGAACTGGCTGGCCCCTGTGTGAGGCAGGATGCTGGACTAGATGGGCCCTCCCTGGTCTGACCCAGCAGGGCTCCTCTGAGGTTCTTCTCAGGGGAAGGCCTCGGCCTCTCTGCCCTGTTGCTGGCCCTCCAGAGGAACTGGCTGGCCCCTGTGTGAGGCAGGATGCTGGACTAGATGGGCCCTCCCTGGTCTGACCCAGCAGGGCTCCTCTGAGGTTCTTCTCAGGGGAAGGCCTCGGCCTCTCTGCCCTGTTGCTGGCCCTCCAGAGGAACTGGCTGGCCCCTGTGTGAGGCAGGATGCTGGACTAGATGGGCCCTCCCTGGTCTGACCCAGCAGGGCTCCTCTGAGGTTCTTCTCAGGGGAAGGCCTCGGCCTCTCTGCCCTGTTGCTGGCCCTCCAGAGGAACTGGCTGGCCCCTGTGTGAGGCAGGATGCTGGACTAGATGGGCCCTCCCTGGTCTGACCCAGCAGGGCTCCTCTGAGGTTCTTCTCAGGGGAAGGCCTCGGCCTCTCTGCCCTGTTGCTGGCCCTCCAGAGGAACTGGTTGGTTGCCGTGTGTAACAGGGTGTTGGACTGCTGCACCTTCTGAACATTCTTCAAGGGTAGGCCCAAGTAGCGCACATGGCAATAATAATTGCAGGGCCCCTCCTGAGTAGCAGAGTAAGTTACGGGCAGTGGGCCAGAGCTTTCGGAGTTTACCTAGATTTTAGAAAGCATGCAGAACTGGGCATTGTTGTCCCAACACGACCACCTGAGCAATGCTCCCTCTAAGCTGTGGAGTCTCGTGAGCAAAAATTCTACTTTGTGAGCTCCTGGCATTAAAGTTGTGAGCGAGCAATTTGGCCACTGCATAAATCAGTTTGCTCTCCTGGAGCCCTCCCTTCCCGAGCTGAGACAAAAACTGTGAGCTGGCTCACACTGACTCAGCTTAGAGGGAACACTGCTCCTGAGTGTTTGGCTCTCTTCTTCCTGTGCAGCAAAGATGGCGGCGTGCCTGAGAGGCCAGTGATGATCCACCGGGCGGTCCTGGGCTCTGTCGAGAGGATTATGGCCGTCCTGGCTGAGAACTACGGCGGGAAGTGGTGAGTGGCCGTGGGCGGGGCTCCGGCCTGCTGGGGCTTGAGGGCAGGTAGAGATCTGAAGGCCCCGGGGAAAAACCGTTTTTCCCGTTTTTCCCCCGAAGCCTTTTCCCCCCCGAAAAATTGAAAAAAGAAAAGGGGGGAAAATTGATTATGGAACATTTTATTTTTTACATGATGAATACAATATTTTAAGATGAGGTGTTCATTCTAGAAAAATCATTTCTTAAAAATATAAACGGTATCAGATTAATCTAATTTCTGTGCACTGAGGACAAGCAAGTCCTAGGTTACAAACTGAACTCTCCAATGGATAATGACAGACACAACAGAGTAGCTGCAGAAGCAGAGAATGAAACTGATAATTACAGCTCAGAAAACGATTCTGATTAAATTTCATGCCCATTGATTGAAACTTAGTCCCACGCTCCCTTCTATACACTTCCCCCCTCTTCAGTTCTTTTTATGTGGATGGGTTTTTTATTATTTAATACTGTGGAGAGGAAATATGAATAATAGTTACTTCTGGATTTTTAAGAATTGTTTTGTGGAGGTTTTTTTGTCTGTTCCACATAAACTAGTAAACAGTTCAGGAGATTGTTTCTCCATTTGTTACAATTACAAATAAATATTATTTAAAAAGTAAATTCTGTTTGTAATAACTGTTTGGATACACTATATTTTTAATATGCTAGTTGTGGTAATTTCATGCCAAGTAAAATTGTCCATAGTCATATTTTATGTTCCTAACATAACAGAATGACTTTCAATCTGGAAAAGAAAAAAAGAAAAGCAAGTCCTAGGTTACAAACTGAACTCTCCAATGGATAATGACAGACACAACAGAGTAGCTGCAGAAGCAGAGAATGAAACTGATAATTACAGCTCAGAAAACGATTCTGATTAAATTTCATGCCCATTGATTGAAACTTAGTCCCACGCTCCCTTCTATACACTTCCCCCCTCTTCAGTTCTTTTTATGTGGATGGGTTTTTTATTATTTAATACTGTGGAGAGGAAATATGAATAATAGTTACTTCTGGATTTTTAAGAATTGTTTTGTGGAGGTTTTTTTGTCTGTTCCACATAAACTAGTAAACAGTTCAGGAGATTGTTTCTCCATTTGTTACAATTACAAATAAATATTATTTAAAAAGTAAATTCTGTTTGTAATAACTGTTTGGATACACTATATTTTTAATATGCTAGTTGTGGTAATTTCATGCCAAGTAAAATTGTCCATAGTCATATTTTATGTTCCTAAAATAACAGAATGACTTTCAATCTGGAAAAGAAAAAAAGAAGTGCTAATGTAGCATTTGTTTTCAATTTTTCCAAAAATTTCCGTATTTTTCAGAGTTTCAAAATTTCCCACGGCAGCCATTTTGTGCCTTGTCAGAATTCGAAATGTACCCACACAGGCTCAAAATGGCTGGGGACTCCTCCTGTAATGTGATGGAATGTCGCTAGGCTTGCACTGTTCCCAGGGCTATTTTTGGGCAGGAACGGAGTTCCGGCTGGCTCCCAAGTTGGCCATGCCCAGCAGGAACTCATTAGCATAATAGGCCACACCTAACAGCAGAAACTCATTAGGATTGGCTACATCAGGGGTGTGTGGCCTAACATGCAAAGGAGTTCCTGCTACAAAAAAAGCCCTGGGTGTTGACAACAAACAAGGTAAACAGAATAAGAAGCAAAAGGTGGGTGTGGCTGGATGACCACACTTCTGGTAACATGGGGGTGTGGCCTAATGTGCTAATGAGCTGTGCTGTCAGGGGTGTGGCCTAATGTGCTAATGAGTTTCTGCTGTTGGGTGTGGCCTATTATGCTAATGAGTTCCTGCTGGGCTTTTTCTACAAAAAGAGCCCTGACCCCATCAGAGAACTGCAGTACTCAGGGTTGCTGAGGGGGGCGAAGGAAGGCCCGACTACATGGGGCTTTTAAGCTGTGCGGCTGCCCACAGTTGCTCATCCAGGAGCCGGGACTGCGTGCAGGAAAAAGAGAGCCGGCACCGGCTGAGTATATCTTCTGTCTCTGCTTCCATCCCAGGCCTTTCTGGTTGTCCCCGGCCCAAATCGTGGTGATCCCCGTGGGTCCAGACGCAGAGGGCTACGCGCATGAGGTGAGGAGGTGGGCTCCAAGTCCCTGGAACTGCTCCACCTGTGACTGGCAGACAGCCAGTCAGTCAACAGGAATGCAAGGGGGGTGGAAATGGGGGAAATTCCACTCTGGAGGATCTCAGACATTTATTTACTTATTTAACACGTTCATCAGCTGCCTCTCTTCTGTACGGAGCTCAAGGTGGCTTATGTAGATGTAACAGGATAAATATGGACAAACACGACCCAATCAGGAAATAAGTATAAAGACAACAGTCGGGAGAGTCTGACCCACAAATCGAGCAGTCACCAAGGCTTGGCAGAGAAAAAGCTTCCTATGTATTATCTAAAGCACTGCAAAATAATTAATAAATCATAAGAAAATCCTTGTGCATCGGGACATCATCAACGTCGTCTCCGGATTATATAACAACGTTTCAAAACTGGATCGTCCTCAGGAGATATTAAAGCCAGTCGAGTCCAACTCTAGGGTTGCGGTGCTCATCTCCGTTTCAAAGCCGAAGAGCCAGCGCTGTCCGAAGACGTTTTCCGTGGTCATGTGGCCGGCATGACTAAACACCAAGGCGCACGGAACGCTGTTACCTTCCCACCTAAGTGGTACCTATTTATCTACTTACAATTTCTTGCTTTCGAACTGCTAGGTTGGCAGGAGCTCGAGCTAGAGATGGGAGCTCACTCCGTCATGCGGCACACTCGGGTCTCGAACTGCTGAACTACCGACCTTCCACAGCCTGCAGTTCAGCGTCTAAACCTCTTGAGCCACCGCAGCTCCTTCAGGAGATATTAGAGTAGTACAAAAGCTCTCTGTATTCATGAAGTGCTTGACAAGAAGTCATAAGGAATACCACATTCAAGTAGGACGCTGATCTCAATAAATGTTCAGGCTCAAATATGCTGCTAAGCTTCTAAATGGATCCCGGACGTCTCCCTCCGGAGACGATGTCAATGATGTACCGATGCACAAGGATTTACTTATGATTTATTAATGATTTTGTAGTGCTTTAGATTATAACAAGAAAGAGGACCCGCGAAACTCGCGGGGGGGGGGGAGCTCCAAACTGAGCAGGCGGAGGAGGAACCAGCAAGAGCCGGTAAGCTCTCCCCCCCCCCATCCCGCCGGTTCCCCGTCTCCTCTGCCCCCCTGCTCCGAACCGAGGCCCAAGCGGCCCCTCCCTGCTCGCCGCTCGCCGCTTCCCTCCCAAGCGGCAGCGGTGTCAGCGGCGGTCGCAGAGCGTTCCCTGCGCATGCGCAGGGGACGCTCTGTGAGTTTCGGGGGGATTTAAACATCCCCCCAAAGTTTTTTTCCAAATTTAGGATTTTTGTGCACACCTCGGGACTGCCCCAAGTGTGCACGAAAATCCCCCTCCCCCCCAGGTGCCCCCGATGTGTGGGAATAAGCATCCGCACACGGGGGCAACTTCGGTATTAGTATAAGGATATATGGGAAGCTTTTTCTTTGCAAGTCTTGGTGACTGGCTTGATTTGTGGGCCAGACTCTCATGACTGTTGCCTTTATACTTTTGTAGATGTAAAACATATAATATAGAAGCATTGGAGAATCAAGAGGACAGACTGTTTCTCGCCCTTAGTGTCGCAAAGGCGAGGCTGGTTACACAAACGCTCGGCCTTGCCTATCTCACAGGGTTGTTGTGAGGGTAAAACGGAGAAGAATGATAAATGCCACCTTGAGCACCTTAGGTGATGAAAGCATGCAAGGTAGAAGAGGCAGGATGAGGGTTTCTTGTTTGTTTCAGTTGAATGGGCCGCACTGCCCTCCTTGGGACTAGCAACAATCAGAACAAATTGTGTTGAATAGTGACAACTACTGCAGTAATTATGGAAAAGAAGGAAGTCATGCAAATCAGCATAATCTCTTTCCTTGACCGGAAACTTGGGAAATGCAGTTAATTCCAATAATGAAATGCTTTTGGGGTAGATCGTTCGTGGCTGAACCATGAACCCGAACCACAAACCCATACAAACTGGGAGGCTGGTTTGTGAGCCATTTAAAGTTCAAACCCCTGCTTTCTCCTCCCTGCGGGGAGGAGAAAGCAGGGGTTTCCAAACAGCCGAGTGGTGAGAACACCGCTCAGCTGTTTGGTTATTTAAACTAAACTCTTATTTGGTTATTTAAACTAAGCTGTTTGGTTATTTAAACTAAACAGATGATGGGCAGGGAGCTCCCTCCTTTTCTATTCTCCACAAACTTCCACAAACGGCACCAAAATTTGTGGAGGTTTGTGGAGGTTCTTCAGTTTGCGTTCATCACTCAGCAAAACCAGTCAGAATTTGTGACTAATCATTATCTGTCTTTGAGTCTTTGCAGGAAAGGTGGACTATAGATGATTTAAAATAAGATAATTTTTTTAGCCTTGAATATAGCCACAGTAAAGGAGCTGCGGTGGCTCAAGTGGTTAAGACGCTGAACTGCAGGTTGTGGAAGGTCGGTAGTTCAGCAGTTCGAGACCCGAGTGTGCCGCATGATGGAGTGAGCTCCCATCTCTAGTTCCAGCTCCTGCCAACCTAGCAGTTCGAAAGGAAGAAATTACAAGTAGATAAATAGGTACCACTTCGGTGGGAAGGGAACAGCGTTCCGTGCGCCTTGGAGTTTAGTCATGCTGGCCACATGACCACGGAAACGTCTTCGGACAGCGCTGGCTCTTCGGCTTTGAAACGGAGATGAGCACCGCAACCCTAGAGTCGGATTCGACTGGCTTTCGAGCAAGGGAACCTTTACCTATAGCCACAGTGCTGGGGGGAGGCAGACTGGATGGACAGGTGGGGGTGGGCGTGGCCTGGGACACGACACGGCACCATCCTGCGAACCCGTCAAGGAGAAGCACCCCGGTGTCGTTTGCTTAGCAGTTGCACCTGAGGGTTCCTCCGGGCCCTTCTGACGCCTTCCGCCCACTGCGTTTCAGGTCCACCAGCTCTTCCGGCAGGCGGGATTCATGGCGGACCTGGATGCCGACTTCGGGTCGACCCTCAACCGCAAGATCCGGAAAGCTCAGCTGACCCAGTACAACTTCCAGTTTGGTAAGCCCGGGCTTTTCCCTCCCTTGCTCAGTCGTGACAACCGATGTTCCCTCTAAGCTGCAGAGCCTTGTGAGCAAAAATTCTGCTTTGTGAGCGACTGGCATGAACGTTTTGAGCGAGCGATTCGGCTGCTGCAGAAATTCGGCTGCTCTCCTTCCTGAACTGAGACAAAAATGTGTGAGCTGGAGGCTTAAAAAGCGTGAGCTAGCTCACACTATAACTCAGCTTAGAGGGAACACTGGTGACAACCAGGGGTCATTTCGTAGCAAAAGATGTGCAGGAGCTCATTAGCATAACTCATCAGCACAACTCATTTGCATATGCCACACCCCCTGACATCACCGGAAGCAACACCCACCAATCAGTTTCCACTGGACTGTTTTGGATTGCTAGCTGGGGGGGGGGATGTGCAGATCTGTCCTCGCAGAGGAGGGAGAGCTTGTACCTGAATAAAACTTGGTCTTAAAGGTGCCACTGGACTGTTTTGGACCCGGGGGCCAGGGGGGGCCTCTGTAGCTTACCTGGCTGCTTCTTGCTCTGACTGAGGGCTGCTGGGAGCAGGGGGCGGGGCTTGTTGCATGTGCCCGCCCCCTGGGATCCTTACTGCCGGAGCTCCACTCCTGTGCGCTCCTGCAGGAAATGACCCCTGGTGACGGCCCTAGCTTGAAAGGTGGACAGGCTGGGTCACGCCCCACAGCTCTGCTCACCCCGAAGTGGCACCCTCCCCTGCCGCTTGTATCGGGGACGGCATCACTGTTAGTGGATCAAATCAGTGGGATCCAACCCATTGCCTCATGAGTAGCGTGACCCGTTGGGTTGGATTTTTGCAGGGACTATTTAGGGGCAACGCTCCGTCTAAGCGGTGGGGTCTTGCGAGCAAAAATCCTACTTTGTGAGCTACCGGCATTAAAGTTACGAGCAAGCGATTCGGCTGCTGCATAAATTGGACTGCTCTGGAGCCCTCCTTCCTGAGCGGAGACAAAGGTCTGTGAGCCGGAGGCTAAAAAACTGTAAGCTGGCTCACACTCACTCAGCTTAGAGGAAACACTAATTGTGAGCTCCTGGCGTTAAGTTGCGAGCGAGCGATTTGGCCCCTGCATAAATTTGTTCGCTCTGGAGTGCTCCTTCCTGAGCGGAGACAAAGGTCTGTGAGCCGGAGGCTAAAAAACTGTGAGCTGGCTCACACAGACTCAACTGAGAGGGAACACTGTAATTAGGGGCCTTTATTTCTGGATGTGGCTGCTGTTTTTTTACCTTTGTATCTGATGAAGGGAGCTTTGTCTCTCAGAAGCTCACACACACAGCCCAGAAAGCCTTGTTGGTTTTTAAAGTCCCCCTGTTCTACTCTCTTAAACGATGCTTGGGGGAGCCTTCTTTTCTACAAGGAGGGCCGTGGCTCATATTGGATGTGCACTGCTGCCACTGCACATCGCACCGTGTGGTACTTGGCCTAGAAGCCAAGGTAGCCGGGGATGTCGGCTGTCATTTTTTAAAAGTCTGGATGTTTCGGGTCCTTCGGCTTCGGAGGGTTAGCCATGTTGGTCGGCAGCATTGGAGTCCAGGAGGGCAGCAGGAGCTGGTCCTGCAGCTGTGAAAGTCACTGGGAAAGCGTATTCAGGTGGGCCTCCGTGTTGGTCTGAATCAATAGGACAGAGTCAGAGTCCGGTGGCACCTTTAAGACCAACAGAGTTTAGTTCCGGGTATAAGCTTTTGTGTGCAGGCTAAAACTTCAGAACATAGTCTGAGTCCAGTGGCACCTTTAACACCAACAAAGTTTAATTCTGAGTGAAAGCTTTCGTGTGCAGAATAAAACTTCAGAACCGAGTTTGAGTCCCGTGGCACCTTTAAGACCAAGAAAGTTTAATTCTGGGTATACGCTTTCGTGTGCAGAATAAAACTTCAGAACCGAGTTTGAGTCCCGTGGCACCTTTAAGACCAACAAAGTTTAATTCTGGGTATAAGCTTTCGTGTGCAGACTAAAACTTCAGAACCGAGTTTGAGTCCCGTGGCACCTTTACCCCCAACAAAGTTTAATTCTGGGTGAAAGGTTTTGTGTGCAGAATAAAACTTTAGAGCAGAGTTTGAGTCCAGTGGCACCTTTAACACCAACAAAGTTTAATTCTGGGTATAAGGTTTCGTGTGCAGACTTAAAATTCAGAACCGAGTTTGAGTCCCATGGCACCTTTAAGACCAAGAAAGTTTAATTCTGAGTGTAAGCTTTCGTGCCCATGCACAAAAATTCAGAAAATGCATTGGTAATGCCTGGCGAGATCTTAGAAACCACGAGTTGTCTGCAAAGCTTTGGCCTCCTCTCCGCGACAAGCAAAAGTCAAATCTGCCATTCTCACTACGGCCACCGCTTCCGTTTCCAAAGTGCTGGGAGGGGCAGGACGGCATGCTTTCTCCAGAGCTGCAGGTGGAGGCATGGTTCAGCATGTCCTCTTGGAAGAGGCGGATTCCCAGAGTTGTCCAGAAAGTGCCCCAGTCTGGCGGAAGCCCTGCTGTGCCCGTGGGAATAGACCTTCCCCCTCTCTCTGTGCTGGCTCTGCCGCTTGGCACCCTGCCTTCCAGGTGCAGTAGGCATGCCCGTTAGAAGCTGCCAGCGCCGATCTCAGCCCAGACATGTTCTGTAGGCAGCTGGTTTGTCTTCTAAGGATAAACCTCCAAAGGAAGTTTAGAAAACCAATTGAGGGCCAAAAGTTAAAAACATAAGTAAGTGTACAAAAGAGTGTTTATTACAAAGACATATAAAAACCTAATAGGGGCCCAAATGAAGCCTCATAAAATGTTCTGAGTTACAAATACACACAAAAGAGAACAGTGACCTGACGCATTTTGGCGCACAAGAGACTTCTTCAGAGGTCAAATAGTGCAAAACGTAACAAGCAACGGAGTCCCTGTGACACATGTAAGGCAATAAACAATAAAAAATAAATAAAATTGGAATGTTCCGATATGGAATTGAATGACACACCAAAAAGTTTCTATTTGGGCCCACAAATATATCTGGCCTTGCGTCAGAAGTTGTTGTATGAAATGGAAATATTATGTACCTTCCAGTTTTGGTCCTAAGAGTGCAAATGGAATTGCCTTGTCAGAAGAAGAAGAGATAGGATTTATACCCCACGCTTCACTACCCAAAGGTGTCTCAGAGCGGCTCACAAACTTCTTTCCCTTCCCCTCCCCACAACAGATACCCTCTGTGAAGTAGGCGGGGTTGAGAGAGCTCTTGACAGAAACGGCTCTTTTTCAAGGACACCTCTTATCAGAACTACGGCTTGCCCAAGGCCATCCAGCCAAGTGCAAGTGGAGGAGTGGGGGATCAGACTCGGTTCTCCCAGATTAGACAACAGACACCCTGTGAGGTCGGTGGGGCTGAGAGAGCTCTGACAGAAACTGCTCTTTTTTCAATGACAGCTCTTGTCAGAACTACGGCTTGCCCAAGGCCATCCAGCCAGGTGCAAGTGAAGGAGTGGGGGAATAGAACCCGGTTCTCCCAGATTAGAGTCCTCGCACTTAACCACTACACCAAACTGGCTCGCGGGGGGGGGGGGGTCATCTAGTCCAGCCCCCTCCACAGTGCAGGGAAATCACAACCCCCACCCCCACAGTCCCCCAGTGACCCCTGCTCTGTGCCCAGAGGAAGGCAAAAACCCTCCAGGATCCCTGGGCCAATCTGGCCTGGAGGAAAATTCCTTCCTGGCCCCAGAGTGACAGTCGGCCGGCATTCCCCTGAGCAGGTAGGAAAGAGTCACCAGAGCCAAGTGCCGGCTCATCCCTTCCTTGCCCTCCCTCTCACCATCTGCCTAAATTCATAGTGAGTCAGCAGATCCTTCCAGGGGTTTGAGTCTCTACTGCCGAGGGTAGCAGCGTGGTGTAGTGGGTAGAGCTCACAGCTAGACTCCTGGAGGCTCCAGGGTTTGGATCTCCGCTGTGGAACCCCTCCCACTGTTAAGAACATAAGAAGGATGGCTTCTAGAGTCCCGGCCCCACTGATGGACCTCCTGATAGCACCTGGGAATTTTGGCCACTGTGTGACCCAGAGTGTTGGACTGGATGGGCCTTTGGCCTGATCCAACATTGGCTTCTCTCTTATGTTCTTATGTTCTTAACATAAGAGACGCCAATGTTGGATCAGGCCAATGGCCCATCCAGTCCAACACTCTGGGTTACACAGTGGCCAAAAATACCAGGTGCCATCAGGAGGTCCAGCAGTGGGGCCAGGACATTAGAAGCCTTCCCACTGTCTGGGAGATGCAGATGGGAGATGCAGATGGGGCTTTCCTTCCAACAGCTTTTATACAGGGATCGGCCTTGGGAGAAGTCTGGCAACCTGGCTATATGAACGCATTCCTGATACGTAACTAGGGAGGGTCAGCAATTTCATGGAGTGCCCACGAGTTCTTGTATTGTGAGAAAGGGAGAAAAGTACCTCTTTCTCTACCTGCTGTATCCCATGCATAATCCTATAAACCTCGATCATGTCACCCCTTAGCCGTCGTTTCTCCAAGCTAAAGAGCCCCAAGCGCTTGAACCTTTCCTCATAGGGAAAGTGTTCCAACCCTTTTATCAGTCTAGTTGCCCTTTTTTGCACTTTTTCCAAGGCTCTAATATCCTTTTTGAGGTGTGGTGACCAGAATTGCACACAGTACTCCAAGTGAGGTGGCACCATCAGTTTATACAGGGGCGTTATGATACTGGCCGATCTGCTTTCAGTTCCCTCCCTAATAATCCCCAGCGTAGCGTTGGCCTTTTTGATTGCAGTCGCCCACCGTCCCGACGTTTTCAGTGACTTACCTACTACGACTCCAAGATCTCTCTCCACAAAGTTGGTCCATCTTTAAGGTGCTACTGGACTCTTGCTCTTTTCTACTAAGAAATAATTGAGTGCCCAGAGTTGTGTGGAGTGGACCCGGGAGGCCTCTGAGCTGGTGGTTCTCAGACTAGAAATGACTCCCCAGGGAGTGGGTGGGCCCCAGAACAGAGGGGGTCGCCCATCGCTGGCAGCCGTTCCCTGCAGTGTAGCGCCAAGGGGAGGGGAAACGGGGGGCTCGGGAGCACGCTCAGAGTACCAGGCGAGGCCCTGCCAGAACCCAGGATCAGTGGTCTGCCCCAGAATCCTTTGCAAAGAGGCACAGGGCCTTTGGAGCAGGCAGGTGAGTGGAGGATGCCTGGAACTGTTTGCAAGGCTGCGGGGCACGAGACGGCACAGAGAGGCGTCATTCAGAGAGCCGAGAGGAAGCCCTTCCCCGAAGCAACGCTTGGGCACCAGCTAGGAGCCGCAGGCAGGCCGCCGTGACTCACGGGACGCAAGCCAGCAGGAACTTGGCATGCGCAAGCCTTGGCTGAAGTCCCATTCATCGCAGGGAGGGTTGCGCAAGAGAACTCCTCCCAACATGAGGCAATGCGTTCATTGTTTGCCACGGGGAGGGGGGTTGTTGTTGGCGGAGGGGTCTTGGATTTCCCACCTGAGGTGCCAGAATGTTTTGGCCAAGCGATGTGAGCCTGCTCGCTCAGCTTTGCATAATGTTGTGCCTGTAATTCAGCTGCTGGGACTGGGCAAGGAAAGGGAGAGGGGGGGGGGGGTGGAGAAGGAAGGCTGGGCAGGGAAGCCGCGTTTGGCTTTTATTTCTCCCCGTAGTTCAGCCAAGGAACAAAATGGCTCCTAAAGTGACAGGCAGCAATTAAAAGCAAGGGCCAGAAAGTGTCGTTTTAGTAGCATCGTGGTCCAGGCCGAAGGGAGAGAGGCTTCGCCAGTTTGGTGTCGTGGTTAAGTGCGCGGACTCTAATCTGGGAGAACTGGGTTTGATTCCCCACTTCCCCCCCTGCAGCTGCTGGTGTGACCTTGGGTCAGTCACAAGTTCTCTCAGAGCTGTTCTCTCAAGAGCAGTTTCTATCAAGAGCTCTCTCAGCCCCACCCACCTCGCAGGGTGCCTGTTGTGGGGAGGGGAAGGGAAAGGCGTTTGTAGGCCGCTCTGAGACTCCCTTGGGTAGTGAAGGGCAGGATATAAATCCAATCTCTTCTTCTCCCTTTCTTTCTCCAGCTTCGCGGATGGCCTTTTGTAAGCGGGAGGGGGGGGTTCAGGTGGAGTTGGATCGAGACCCCCACGGGAAAAGTACTTGGCTTATTCCTCCCAGTCTTGAGAATTAGAAATGTGAAGGACAAAAGGGACTAGACACATGAAGGACAGTTCTGGAGGCTTCACTTCAAAAAGGATGTGGGCAGAATTGAGAGGGTGCCGAAGAGAGCAACGAGGACGATCAGGGGTCTGGAGACCGAGCCCTGCAAGGAAAGGCTAAGGGGGCCTTGGGAATGTTTAGTTTGGAGAAGAGGCGATTGAGGGGGGGCATGATTGCTCTCTCTAAGTATTTGAAAGGCTGTCATTTGAAGGAGGGCAAGGAGCTGTTCCGGTCGGCAGCAGAGGAGAGGACATGAAGCAACGGGTTGAAATTACATACAGAGAAGTATCGGCTGGATAGTAGGAAACACTTTGTGTCCAGATCATTGTGTCCAGATCACGGGAGGCGGTCGTTCCGCTCTATCCTGCTACGGTCAGGCCTCACCTGGAGTCCTGTGTCCAGTTTTGGGCACCACATTTTAGGAAGGATGTTGACAAGCTGGAGCGTGTTCAGAAGAGGGCAGCCAGGGTGGTGAGAGGGTTGGAGTCCAAGTCTTATGAGGAAAGGCTGAAAGGGTTGGGTCTGTTTAGCCTGGGAAAGAGAAGGCTTGGAGGGGACATGATTGCAGTCTTCAAGTATCTGAAGGGCTGTCATGTAGAAGATGAAGCAGATCTATTCTCTCTTGCTCCGGATTGCAAGACTAGATCTAATGGGTGGGAATTACAAGGGAGTCGTTACCGGCTAAATATCAGGAGAAACTTCCTAACAGTAAGAGTGGTTGAGCAGTGGAACAGGCTGCCTCGGGAGGTGGCGGAGGCTTCCTTCGCTGGACGTTTCCAAGCGGAGGCTGGACGACCGTCTTTCAGGGGTGTTGTAGGGCTCTCTTTCGGCTGTGCTCCGGCAGCCGACTAGATGACCTGCAAGATCCCTTCCAACTCTAACATTCTATGATTCCGTGAATATTTGTCAAGATGCTTATTGGGCAGGGGGTCGGACTAGATGGTCTGTGTGGCCCCTTCCAACTCTCTATGATTCTATGAAATGAAAGCTGAGAACGTCTTGGGATGCTGTATCCTGCATAACGTAATAAATTCCGTGTTTTCTTCACGGGCGTGCTTCAATCTTGAGCCTCAGTCAGTGAAGGAATAAGTTCCTCAGTTGCACGCTTCAACCCGTTCCCCTCCATGCGCACTAGACATGCTTAGTGAGGGTGCCGGAGCGGCACGCCCTTCTGCACATGAAAAGTGAAAGGCTGAGCCACATGTGCAGCCAGGTCTGGGTACGTGTTCCAGTTCTGCAAGAATGAAGCAGGGGATGTGGGAACATGCGCAGGAATCAGCTTGGTGTGTGTTTGTTTTTTAATTGAAGAACAAAGAGGGATTTTTGTTTGTTTGTTTGTTTCGGAGCAGATGACAACAGTAGGGGGTTAAAACATTTCACAAGAAGGGTTAAGACATTGCACAATAAATCTTTCATAATAAATAGTTAAAACAGAGTCGGACTCGTCTGTGGGACCGAACAGCATAAGCTAAAAACAGATGGCCTGGCAGTTTGGTATAGTCATCTCAAAAACTGGAGCTCTTAGACTGTAGGCCAGACTGTGGGTCTTCGCCTAATGGGCCGTTTGAAGGCGGAAGGTTTCAGCGGGAGAGAGCAGCAGATGGAATAATTGGACTGAAGAGTGATGAACACTTGGAATTCACTGCCACAGGAGGTGGTGGCGGCTACAAGCATGGACGGCTTCAAAAGGGAATTAGATAAGCATCTGGAGCAGAGGTCCATCAGTGGCTATTAGCCACAAGGTATAGATAGGGACTCCAGGGCAAGGGATGCTCTGTCTTCTTGGTGCTTGGGGGGGGTCAACAGTGGGAGGGCTTCTAATATCCTGGCTCCACTGGTGGACCTCCTGATGGCACTGGTATTTCTCGCCACTGTGAGACACAGAGTGTTGGACTGGATGGGCCTTTGGCCTGATCCAACATTGGCATCTCTTATGTTCTTATGACGTCCACCACCTCACCCAAAGGCCTGGCAGAACAGCTGATTCACAGGCCCTGTGGGATTGTAATATGTCCCTGATCGCTGTGGCGATGGGAATGTGCTTGGAAGCGTCTGGGCCAGTTAGGCACAACCCTCTTAGAGCCCACTGAGTCCTCCTCGGAAACAAATAACCTTCCTGGGCAGTCAGTGGCTGGGCAGCTGCTTGGCATGCAAAAAGTCCCAGGTTCAATCCCCGGTACCTCTAGTTGAAAAGAACTAGGTGGCAAGTGGATGTGGAGGACCCCAAAGAGCCGCTGCCAGGCAGAGTACACAATCCTGAGATTGATGGAGGGTTTGTGACTCAGTGGTAGAGCATCTGTTTGGAATGAAGAAGGTCCCAGGTCCAGTCCCCGGCATCTCCAGTTAAAAGGACCAGGCAGGAGGTGATGGATAAGACCTCCGCTTGAGACCCTGGAGAGCTGTAAAGAGGGGCCATGGCTCAGTGGAAGAGCCTCTGCTTGGCATGCAGGAGGTCCCGGGTTCAATCCCCAGCATCTCCAGTTAAAAGGACCAGGCAGGAGGTGACGGGAAAGACCTCCGCCTGAGACCCTGCAGAGCTGTAAAGAGGGGTCGTGGCTCAGTGGCAGAGCCTCTGCTTGGCATGCTGAAGGGCCCAGGTTCAATCCCCGGCATCTCCAGTTAAAAAGGACCAGGCAGGAGGTGACGGGAAAGACCTCCGCCTGAGACCCTGGAGAGCTGTAAAGAGGGGCTGTGGCTCAGCGGCCGAGCCTCTGCTTGGCATGCAGAAGGGCCCAGGGCCCATTGTGGTTCAGGCCCAAGGGGAGAGGCTCAGCCAGTTTGATGTAGTTGGTTAATTGCGCGGACTCTAATCTGGGAGAACTGGGTTTGATTCCCCACTCCTTCCCTTGCAGCTGCTGGTGTGACAAGTTCAGTGCTGGGTCAGTCACAAGTTCGGAGCTGTTCTCTCAAGAGTAGTTCTCAAGAGAGCTCCCACCTACCTCCCAGGGTGCCTGTTGTGGGGAGAGGAAGGGATGGGAGTTTGTGAGCCCCTCTGAGACTCCGAGTGAAGGGCAGGGGGTATAAATCCAATCTCCTCCTCTTATTTCTGCTCCAGTGGTCGGCCGCCAGGAGATGTCCAACCGCACCGTGAACGTCCGCAGCCGCGACATGCACCAGCACGGCCCACGGGAACTGCAGGAGGCGCTAGGCAGGCTCCGGGAACTGCAGGACTCTCGGGTCAGAAACGCAGAGGAGCTCTTCTGAGCGGGGTGGAGCTGCCGCAGGCGCCCTGGTGCTTGGGAGAGCACGGAGCCCTGGAATGGCGAGCCCTGCAAGGTCCACCTGATGCTTGCAGAGGGAGGCAGCTCACCATGGAAACTGCTGCCGCAGACGGGAGTCTCGGGTTCTCCCTCCGCCTGGAATCCCGTCTGCCCTCTTGCTGACCCTTTGATCTGTCTGAACTCGCCCGGGCCCCTGCCCACACACACGGAGTCCCGCCCTGCCGTCTCAGTTTCCCTTGGCACGATATTGGAATTCTTGAGGGGTGAAGAGCAGATAAAGAAATCTGCTGGGCAAACGCCGAGCGGGGAGGGCCTGGGAAACCCCCACCTCCCATGCAGAAAAGGGGTCCAAGCTATTTCCTCCTTGGTCCGGCCAGCCGGAGTTGCTCGTGGAGGCCTGTCATTAAAACACTTCCCTAAGCTGAGAAGCCACAACTTGTCTTGCATCTGTCGGCTGCGTGGGTGTCTTTTGTTGTGGGGGAGCTCCGAACGGCTTGGCCGGGTTAGGAGGGCGGTAGGCAGTTGCTTTTTCCCAGGGGCTGGGGTGGGTGTCAGCCCAGTTCCTTTGGGGCATTTGAGGGGGGGGTGACCGCCCCCCGCAGATGACGTTGCCTGCAACGCTTGCAGGTAGCAGAGGTATAAACTTTATAAAGGACACAAACACGAGGGTGTTTTTTTTTTACTTAAAATAAAAACATGGTTAAAACATCAACACTCTTGCGATATTTTGTTTATTCAACAGTGTCTGATAACTGACACCTCTTGCTCTGAATGGTTCCGTCAAAATGTCTGTGCTGTTGCAATCTTGAGTCTGCTGTTCAGGTGTGTCTCAGTAAGCTGCAAACCTATGATGACGCAGCAGCAGCAGAACTGGAAGAAGAAGAAGCAGAAGACAGCCAGTTCCACTGTGGCCCTGATAGAAGCCCTCCGGGGGCCTGATCTGGCCCCCGGGCTGCATGTTTGACACCCCTGGTCTAGGGAAACCGGGATGGAGCATCCAAGCAAAACAGCCTCGCATCAGGGCCACTGCCGTCATCTTCTTTGTTCATCTAAGCAGAGTGTGAATAAGGACGCGAATAACGTAGCTATTCATGCTTTTTGGTCATCGGTGAGCTGATTGATAAAACGAGAGCTTTGGAACGTCAGCAAACCAAGATAGTGCCATCTGTTTATACAGTCACATAAACTAATGTCTACAACCAATGCCATTGTAAGGAAGGGCTGTGGCTCGATGGAAGAGCCTCTGCTTGGCATGCAGGAGGTCCCAGGTTCAGTCCCCGGCCTCTCCAGTTAAAAAGGACCAGGCAGGAGGTGATGGGAAAGACCTCCGCCTGAGACCCCGGAGAGCTGTAAAGAGGGCCTGTGGCTCAGTGGCAGAGCCTCTGCTTGGCATGCAGAAGGTCCCAGGTTCAGTCCCTGGTGGCATCTCCAGTTAAAAGGACCAGGCAGGAGGTGATGGGAAAGACCTCCGCCTGAGACCCTGGAGAGCTGTAAAGAGGGGCTGTGGCTCAGTGGCAGAGTCTCTGCTCGGCACACAGAAGGTCCCAGGTTCAATCCCCAGTGGCATCTCCAGTTAAAAAGGACCAGGCAGGAGGTGATGGGAAAGACGTCCGCCTGAGACCCTAAGTAGGCAATACTGGTCTTGGTGGACCGATGATCTGCTTCAGCTTCATGTGTGACTCTCAGCCATCTTTTTTCCTTTTCCTGAAGTCTGCAGAGCACTTGCCTGTGTCTGTTGTGTGGCGACAAGTCATTTCCGACTCACAGAGACCCAGTGAAGGAATGGCCTCCGAAACGGCCCATCATGAACAGTCTTGCGCAAGTCTTGCAACGCCTGCAGAACTGAATCAAAAAGCAACGTAGCCCATTGCCCCCCTCTCTTCCGTTCCTGGGTGCAAACGATCCCACACAGGGAGGGTGAGTGAATCAGTGGGTGAAATTGTCGGAAGCCTCTGCCTGCTCACAGTTTTTGTTTACTTAGAAACATAGAAACAGCTGGAAAGGGATAAGCCTATGGAGCAGAGGTCCATCGGTGGCTATTAGCCACAAGGTATAGATAGGGGCTCTGGGGCCTCTAGTGTCCTGGCCCCACTGCTGGACCTCCTGATGGCACCTGGTATTTCTGGCCACTGTGTGACCCAGGGTGTTGGACTGGGTGGGCAACTAGCCTGATCCAGCATTGGCTTCTCTTATGTTCTTAGGAGGGGATTGGATGGACATCTGGAGCAGAGGTCCATCAGTGGCTATTAGCCACAAGGCATAGGTAGGAGCTCCCAGTCTGGGGCAAGGGATCCTTTGTCTTCTTGGCGCTTGGGGGGGGGGCAACAGTGGGAGGGCTTCTGGTGTCCCAGCCCCACTGCTGGACCTCCTGATGGCACCTGGTATTTCTGGCCACTGTGTGACCCAGAGTGTTGGACTGGATGGGCCATTGGCCTAATCCAACATTGGCTTCTTTTATATTCTTATGTCTGGGGCAAGGGATGCTCTGTATTCTTGGGCCTTCAGGGGTGGGGGCAAAAGTGGGAGGGGCTTCTAGTGTTCTGGCCCCACTGCTGGACCTCCTGATGGCACCTGGTATTTCTGGCCACTGTGTGACCCAGAGTGTTGGACTGGATGGGCCACTGGCCTGATCCAGCATTGGCTTCTCTTATGTTCTTAGGAGGGGATTGGATGGACATCTGGAGCAGAGGTCCATCAGTGGCCATTAGCCACAAGGCATAGACAGGAACTCTCAGGCTGGGGCAAGGGATGCTCTGTCTTCTTGGTGCTTGCGGGGGGGGTCAACAGTGGGAGGCCTCCTTGTGTCCTGGGCCCACTGCTGGACCTCCTGATGGCCCCTGGTACTTCTGGCCACTGTGTGACCCAGAGTGTTGGACTGGATGGGCCATTGGCCTGATCCAACATTGGCGTCTCTGATGTTCTTATAGGAACTCTCAGTCTGGGGCAGGTGATGCACTGTGTTTTTGGTCCTTGGGGGGGGCACAGTGGGAGGGCTTCTAGTGTCCTGGCCCCACTGGTGGACCTCCTTATGCCACCTGGTACTTTTGGCCACTGTGTGACCCAGAGTGTTGGACTGGATGGGCCACTGGCCTGATCCAGCATTGGCTTCTCTTCTTATGTTATGACCGTAAGGGCCATCTAGTCCAGCCCCCCGAACAATGCAGGAAATTCTCAACTTCTCCCCCGCAGTGACACCCGCTCTGTGCCCAGATGAAGGCAAAAAACCTTCAGGATCCCTGGGCCAATCTTTTATACTGCACCTTTGTCGCCAGTGGGTACTTAAACTGGTTACCCTGTTCTGTTCTTCATTTTTTTCTCACACCAACCCTGTCGGTGGGGTGTGACGCTTGGGGCTCTTTAGCTTGGAGAAACGACGGCTGAGGGGTGACCTGATCGAGGTTTATAAGATTATGCATGGGATAGAGCAGGTAGAGAAAGAGGTACTTTTCTCCCTTTCTCACAATACAAGAACTCGTGGGCACCCCCTGAAATTGCTGAGCGGTCGGGTTAGAACGGATAAAAGGAAGTCTTCTTCACCCAAAGAGTGATTAACATGTGGAATGCATAAGAATATAAGAGACGCCAATGTTGGATCAGGCCAAAGGCCCATCCAGTCCAACACTCTGTGTCACACAGTGGCCAGAAATACCAGTGCCATCAGGAGGTCCACCAGTGGGGCCAGGACATTAGAAGCCCTCCCACTGTTCACCTCCCCAAGCACCAAGAAGACAGAGCATCACTTGCCCCAGAGCCCCTATCTATACCTTGTGGCTAATATCCACTGACGGACCTCTGCTCCATATGCTTATCTAATGCACTGCCACAGGAGGTGATGGGTGGCTACAAGCACGGACAGCTTCAAGAGGGAATTGGATAAGCATATGGAGCAGAGGTCCATCAGTGGCTATTAGCCACAAGGTATAGATAGGGACTCTCGGTCTGGGGCAAGAGATGCTCTGTCATCTTGATGCTTGGAGGGGGGGGCAACAGTGGGAGGGCTTCTGGTGTCCTGGCCCCACTACTGGACCTCCTGAGGGCACCTGGTATTTCCAGCCACTGTGTGACACAGAGTGTAGGACTGGATGGGCCATTGGCCTGATCCAACACTGGCTTCTCTCTTAGGTTCTTATGTTCTTAAGTGTGTTTTGCGCACGGAAGCCTACACTTTGAATAAAACCCTGTTGCTGCCGCCACCTTCTGTGGCAGCCTTTTGTAGCTGGTTCCACCTTGCACCCGCCAATCTTTGTGAGGATTTCCAAAGGTGCACGCAGGCTCTAAAAGGCTGGGGACTTCTGCCTTATGGCATCGTGGCTAGTAGCCATCGATGGATCTCTTCTCCATAAACGGGGTTGGATCTGTTTCGCTGGTGGCAGCGCCATCCCCTGGAGCAGGAACCTTCCCTGGTGCGAGAGGTCTATTCATCAGAGGAAGGTGCCGCCGGCAAGTGTGATGTTCCTACAGGAACCAGGTCACACAGTGGCGCCTTGCTTACCTGGTACGGAGACGGCCCCGCAGTCCTGCCAAGTGTTAACTCCTTTGTTAGTGATCCGTTATTTCTCTCCTTGCCCTATATCTGTCTTGCAGACAAGGATTCTAACTGCCAAAAGGTTAGCCTGCTCTCATCAGATCTCGAAAGCTAAGCAGGCTTAGCCCTGGTCAGTATTTGGAAGGGAGGCCATCAAGGAATACCAGGGTCATGGTGCAGGGGCAGGCAGGGGCCGACCACCTCTAAACGTCTCGTGCCTTGAAAACCCCGCGGAGCTGCCACAAGTCAGCTGCGACTTGATGGCAGACAATTCTAAAAAAAACCCAGATACTTTCCTGTTGTGTGTCCGGCACCTTAGTTAGGTCACACCACACAGGACTTCATAAGAAGATAACTGTTTATTAGTGGCCCCAGTACTAAAGAACACGTGTACAGCTTGTGTCAGGAATGGCCGTCAGTACTAGGGCCTCTGACTTACAGTGAAATCAAACATTCCCCCTGTAAGCATAAGCCAATGGATATAACTCGCGCGCGCGGCAAAGCAAGCGGACATAGCAGAGAAGCCATTAACTTTCCCAGCCGTGTAAACTGCAGCTGGAACATCTACAAGGTCAAGTGTAAGATAGTCTAAATATAAAGTCTAAAGTTAAATAGCACACAGTAGCTGAGCAGGAGAGAGCTGAGAACGAGGAGGGTACCCCTCCACATTCCAGATCTATGGCAGGGCTACCTGACATTGTGAGGAGGATCCCTCGTGGGCGGCGTGCAGTCCGTGAGAAATCCTAGTTGGGAAAAAAGTCGGGAGCCAGCGTGTGGGGGAGAAGAGTGGTGAGAGGATCAGGCTAGGGTCTGGGAGGCACGGGGTGAAGCCACCCCCTCTCCTGTGTGGGTCTGCCGGGTGACCTCGGGCCGGTCGCTCACTCTCAGCCTGACCTACCTCACAGGGTTGGGGTAAAGATAAAATGGGGGTGAGGAGAAAGGGTGTAAGGCCCTTTGGGTCCCAGTGGGTTGAGAGGTGGGGCGTAAATGAGTGAATACATAAAATGTCCCTGCTGGGAAATGAAGATAGATTCGGGGGGGGGGGGAGCCGCCGTGTTGGTCTGCAGCAGCCAATCAAAGTCTTGAGTCCAGTCGGGCACCTTGAAGACCAGCAAAGCTCTGTTCCTGGTATGAGCT